ATACCTCAAAGCGACTCTTTATCATGGTCTACGGCTTCGCAAAACTAAAGGTCTTCATCTCACTGCATACTCTGATGCTGATTGGGCAGGCAATATGGATGACCGAACTTCCACTTCAGCCTATATCATTTATCTTGGCAACAATCCTATATCCTGGAGCACACGAAAACAGCGCGCTGTTGCGCGCTCCTCCACCGAAGCTGAATATTGTGCTCTTGCGACTACTGCTTTGGAAATAGCATGGCTCACTTCCCTCTTTCAAGAACTATAGGTGACTCCCCCTGCTGTACCAAAATTATACTGTGACAATATTGGTGCCACTCAGCTCAACTTAAATCCTATTCAACATTCCCGCATGAAGCATATTGCCATTGATATTCATTTTGTTCGGGACTATGTTAACAAAGGCCTGCTTAATGTATCTCATATATCTACCCGTGATCAACTTGTGGATCTCATGACGAAGGCTCTTTCAAAGACTCGCTTTCAAGAGCTTCGCACCAAGATTGGTGTTGCCGATGAAAGCACTGTCTTGCGGGGCGTGAAAAGGATCCTTGATCTTAGCCCTATAATTTTGGTCACACTACCAGTCTACAAGAGCAAATCATGGACATGTTAATCTCAGCTCTAAAATCATGGATAATCAACCAGTCTACAGCCACAAATCATGGACACGGTTGCTGTAAATTTGCTGCTATTCCTTGTATATTTATTCACTATTAATAGGCTTCCTAATATAGCTTTTTGGTTTATATATATATAGAGAGCTTGCTGCCCTCATTGCAATCTGTGTACAAAAGCCAAACAATTGTAATACACAAAGTATTTTCTTATAGTAGAACACCTGTCCTTCTTTATCATTTGTTCTTCTTTAGTGACTGACATGCTAGTATGAGAAATAGTTCCATGATCCGTTGGAAAACGCAATGCAGGCAAACATATTACACAAAAAATGAGAAAAATGAGGACACTGACAGAGATAAGCAAACATGTGAAATCAGTTACCATAATAATTCTGTTCAGTTCTAAATACGGATCAATCGAGAACTAGTTTATTTGAATTAAATCTTCATTTTTTTTTCAAAAAAGGCCAATCATACAAAAAGATACCATTTATGATGGTGGTGAAGTTAGGTATTAGAGGCCAGCATTCAATTAATAATGTTCAGACATTAAACTGGACAGTGAAATTGTGGCCACTAAGCTACATTTTCTTTGAAAAAATTGGTACCAATTCTTGAATTGCAGCATTAAATTGAACCCAACTAACAACCATGCCATGAACCAATCAAACATTGTATCACATTCTTCTCACTCCTCTATATAAACACCACAATTGGCATGGTTTTTATACACAGAAATTAAAACACTTAATTTATACTAGATTTTCTTCTGCAATGGCTTCTGCAGTTGTTAAGGCAACATGTTTTGTCCTGATAGCGGTGGCCCTAGTGGCGCCACTAGCTGATGCAGCAATCTCGTGTGGCACGGTGGTGGGTCAGCTGAAACCGTGCCTAGGTTATGTGCAGGGTGGCAACGTTGTTCCTCCCCCCTGCTGTGGCGGAATTAAGTCTCTCTATACATCTGCCAAAACCACAGCGGATCGCCGGTCCATCTGCTACTGCCTGAAATCGCTCGCCGGATCTTTTAAGGGCATCAACTACAGCAAGGCCGCTGGCCTCCCCGGAAAATGTGGTGTCAATATCCCATACAAGATTGACCCTTCCACTGATTGCTCAAAGTAAATACATCTATCTCCTTTCTAATTTCTCCACTGCTACTCAATTTTCTTCAGATTTATATTTATAATGGGATTCTTGTGTTGCAGGGTTCCATAATTTCATCAGTGGAGCAGAGAGTTCGCTACAGCAGCTTGTTTATGTACTATATGAATAAATAAAGAGAGTTTTCTTCTCTGAAGAGTGGAGGGAAAACCCTGGGGGTTTTCTTTGTACTTTTTTTTATGTGTAATCCAATTATGAGTATGTTTATTAGATTTTGCTATTTATGTATTTTCGTATTAATCATATATAATTTCGTTCGACAGAAGTTATTCTAAAACAATATAAAGGAATTTGAAACTCATTGCATATTAATTAATCTATCGAGCTATCGAACATGTCGTTGCTTGAGAAGCATCTCCCTGCCGAGATTCGGCGTACAATTATAAATTTTACTTACATTTTTTTTCTAATATATCCTCACATTAAATAATGATTTAAATAAGAGTAACTAACAAGGCACATTAAATAGGATTATGTTCGATAACTAAGAAATTGATTACACTATCAACGAAAAAGTAACCTATAATTTATGACAAATGAAAAAGGAAAGTAAACATATTTTTATGGAATGGAGAAAGTATTATGATATCTACTACAAAGACTTCGTCTTCGAATTTTGAAGGCAATGTGCATGTTGTTGATTAGGTGATGAGGCGGCAATCTCATGAGGTGATTGCCTATCGGGCCACCTGCTCTGGGGGATTAGGTCTATATCGGACCGCCAATCCCTCTTATCTCTCTCAGTGGCATCATCTTTGGCAAGATCAACCTTTACACTGGTTGCTCAAAGTATATATTCATTGAACCATTCCATTCTGTTAAACAAGTTCCATTATGTATAAACCTAATTTATTATTAACATGTAGCAGGACTTGAATCCATTATATGTAACACTATTGTTTGAATTTAATTTTTATACGCATTTCTTTGAAATTTAGCCAAAATAATTATTCTCATTAGGGGATTATTGTGTTGCAGTGTGCCGTAATATCATCTTCTAAGTGAATAGTAGGACGTTCGGTACATCATATGAGAATGAGATGCTTTACAGCCTGTTTGGGATGAATTTTTTATTTCAAAAAATTCATTTTTTGACCGTTATTTCACTATTTCAATCGTAATTTTTGACTTCTTCTCTCACAGGTGAACCCCACTTTTCTTCTAACGATCAAAAAATCAATTCTCAAAATTCCTCACAAACGGGGCCTTATACTTTCAATGTCCTCATAAATCTATGGATATCTACTGTTTTGATTATATTTATATATGACTCTTTGGATTATCGATTATTTTGACTATGTTTGAGCCACATTTTTTCCCAAAAAAAAAATACATTCTTAAACAGTGATTTAACATTATTTCAACCACACATTCATTAGTAAAATAATATTATACGTAAATCTAAAACTTTTTTTATTTTTTAACCATACATTTTTCATCAATATACTATTCAAAATTACATTTTTAGGAATATAATGTGACTCAAACAAGGGCTTTGTTTACTTTAACTTTTTGTTGTTGTTGATATCTACTAAAATGCTAACTTATCTATATAAATGGAAAATAATAACTAATTAATTTGTGGAAAAGAAAAAATGTTGAATTTATTAAGACTTAAAGTTGTGCAGCATTGTTGTTGGTTTCTTTCATTTTTCAGGACAGAACATGTCATTTATGAGACAATGACTTTTGAGCTAACAAGTACTGCCACGAGTCAAATTGAATTATTAATTGAGTGATGCTTCAGAAAATCCGGGTTCCATTCGAGGGTCGAGGTGGTGGCAGTCAAATTGAATTATTAATTGAGTGATGCTCCCTTCCAGGGTCAAGGTGTGGGGTTCCATTCCAGGGTCGAGGTGGTGGCAATCAAATTGAATTATTAATCGAGTGATGCATCAGGGTTCCGTTCCAAGGTCGAGGTGGCAGCACCTCGACCCTGGATCTTCACACATGCCACCTCGACCCTGGTACCTGGATCTTCACACATGCGGGCCCCACTCCTTTTACATCGAGGGCCGAGGCGTTCCATTCTAGGGTCGAGGTGGTAGCACCTCGACCCTGGATCTTCACACATGCGGGGCCCACCCCATTTACATTGGGCACCTCGGCCTTGGACTGGATCCCCGGATTTATCTCGGGATCTCCAACTTTTTTTTTATTAATTTGAAATCCCGGGATCTTCAGCTTTTTTCTTATTAACACCTCGACCCTAGACTGGATCTCGGGATTTTATCCCGGGATCTCCAGCTTTTTTTTTTTTTTATTAGTTTGAAATCTCGGGATCTTCAGCTTTTTTCTTATTAATTTGAACCTTAAACAGTGTTGAACAAAAAATTCATCAGGTATTTCATTTTAATTATATTTAATTTTATGAATGCGTTTGACTGAATATATGGATCCTAATGAACAAATTATTAATCAGGATCTTGAATTCATTTCCTCACTGAGACAAGCTATATGACGCTCAAGTTTCAAAAATCTTCAGTGATGGAAAATTTTCTTTTCCAATCAAAATTGAGATTGGATTCAAGTAATGAAACTTGACATTCTCTAATAAAATAATCTTACATATAATTTTTACTGTAATCTGTATCTTCATTTGAATTTGACCAATCCAATCAATTCAATTTGGTTAGGATTAATCTTTTAACAGTTCTAAATACTATAACCAAGAATCCTTCGATTCTCAATTCTAGTACCCAAAATGAAGCAAAATTTTAACATGTTAGATCAATTACTTTTGCAAATTCAATTTATATTTAGCACAAATTCTCTCATTATCATAATTAAATATTGATTGTGGAGCCTATTATTAGTTCATTTGAAACCAATAACTCTATTGAAATAATGTGCAAATCTTATCCGATTTCACATATTCTTAATATTTTTTCGATTCTCTTGGAAACTTAGACCCCATCAACCCTTGTGTAAAACTTTTGGGTTTTGCTACGCTAATGTAAAAGTTGACATAGAAGATGATCTAACGCACATGAGAAGATCGGCATTTGTTAATTCATGCGAAACCCAATCGCAAAATGTGGAGATCGATCACACCTTCTGTCAACCCATTTGATCACTTTAGCTTCAGTCAAAACTTTTATCATTGTATCTAGAGACCCATGGAAAGTGCGACTAATAAATGATTGGGCCCAGAGAGCTGTAATAAGGCAATCTAGCCGTTGATTTAGTAGTTGTCTGTTATAACTACTTAAAATTATGTCTAAAATCAATTTGTACGGTGTTGTGCATCACCATCACATTAAAAGTGGAGGCCTAGAAATAGGGTTACTTTATTGAGACTTGTGCCAAAAGACAGGCTTGTCTAATAGAATTATTTTTATTTTTATTTCTGTATTAAGTTTTGAAACAAAAATAGGAAGATTAAGGCCCTGTTCTCTTTACCATTTTCGGATCATTTTTTGTTTTCGATTTTTCAAAACAGTGAAAATCTGTTCTCTTTCCCGTTTTCGAAAACGTATTTTCGAAAACGAAAAAAAATTTTGTGAAGAAAACACAAAACTACTTTTTTATCGTTTTGGACGTTTTCAGTGTAAAACTTGAAATTTTTGAAAACGCGGGAAACACTTTTTTTTATTTATTTATTATTATTTTTTTATTTTTTTGAGGAGGTGGTGTGATGATTCTCAAAATTTCAAAAAAAATTAGAAATTAATTTTTTTTTTTTTTTTTTTTTTTTTTTTTTTTTGAGGTGGTGGTGTGATGATTCTCAAAATTTGAGAAACTAACAAAAAAAACGCATTTTCAACAATTTCAAAACAAACACTCAAAACACAAAACTCAAAATGAATTCAAAATTCAAAACACAAAATTGAAACACAAAAAGAACACCCCTAAAATTCTCTTACTCTTGACTCAATCCCTTGTTACGCTTGCTACCTCGTGACCTGCAAGGACTAAGTTATACTCAGTCGATATAGATACGTTAAAAAGAGTGTAAAACTGGTACAAAAGTATTCCTTCGCTTGAAATCCATTACAGTTCACAACATTCAATAAGCCAAATGACTTACCAGGTGGAAGTTACATCCACTCCCAACCAGTCATTAATTGAGACTGACAAGTGGCCATGAATCATCCATTAGAAACCTGACTTGCTCAACATGGAGAAAACTGATGTCTCTCACGGATAAGTGATAAATAACTACCCGAACTCCGGGCAAAGATTGAGAGCAAATTTCATACAACTCCATCGTCATTTTTCAGATCATTCTTGCTTCTAACTTGAGCATCAGCACACCTACCCCATGTAATCAAGGATTAGTTCGACTCCCATTTTTTACGTAGATGTATAGCTTGTCACAGGTACAAGGCACGTTGTTGAAAGTGAACTTGTACCACTGACCTTAGCAAGGATTATGTAGAGTATTTGCAGAGGAAGCTTCATTCAATTTATGAGTGAGTCATAACTAACCAAGAGGCAACTCCTCCATCTTAGAGTTGGTATATATGATAGATGTACCTGTCATTATGCTTGTTTCGGCTGCAGAAAGCTGATCCTGATGTTCTTCAAGATGACCGACCTACAAATATGTCTGAAGAATCAGTAACTTACCATTTAGCGATGATTACAGAAATAATAAATAAGAATGGCAACTAAAAAGAGTTGGATGCTCTAGGTTCAGGAACAGCCATACATTTCTTTTCACTATCCTTTTTGATAGGGCAAGCAACATTCTTTTCGAAGTTCAGAACAATTTATATATAGCATAAGTTGGAGTGGCAACAAAGAGGAGCTGCAAAATTAAGGAACTCCCAGTGGAGGAAAATTATTCAGAAAAAGCAGAATCGCAAGATTCTTTAAGTCGCTGGGAATAATAACCTGCAATGTTTACACACTACTGCAGCTTTTCGTATGCATATATAAACTGGAAGGTGAATCACAGAAATAACTTATACATTCGGTACTCTAAAATCTGAAAGGAAAGAACCAACATCACAGTCCAACTTCTATAGCACATCCATTGAGATAATAGAAATCCTTAAGCATCAACTCATTGACAAAATCAAATACGTAGGTAATTTAAATTGAACGTCTTTGGTTAATTAAATAAATAAGAAATCAGATATCAATATCTATCAAGATTACAGATGACTGTTCCCAAATTTCAGCATATAAACCAACCTGTAGGCAGCCCTAAAGCCACACCAATGGTTGGCAAAAGCCAATTAACATCGCTGGTACTTTAGTGACCACATGCAACAAGCCAAAAAAAGGCCCTTTCTGAAGCCATGCTTCAAGGACCAATTCACTCCAAACTATCCAGGAAAGCCATACGTCAAAACAATTAAAATGAGTAATTTATTTATATTTTACACAGATAACCGCTAATATATTTGCTTCTGTTAACTACTTCAACTTGATATTGAATATAAGAATTGTTTCATATCACTGGGTGAAACTTGACTACATGCTGTACACTTTGCCACTACATTATCGGGCTTCTACTTCAGCTTCTAACAGGTTCTAAAAGTCCGACACTATTAATTTTGTGTCACCTGTGGTTTTCTTCATTCTACTAAATTATATGAACATACACTGTTTCTAGTTTTGTAGCTTCACTACTCAATAATCTGATCTCCAATCCCCACCCCATGGTCTTCAAAGACAATACTTTCAAGTCGGGCAACAAGCTTTTGAGTTGATGATGTTAAGACTTTGTTCTCGTGTCTCAAGTTTTCCACTTCCTTTCTCAGTTTAACATTCTGATCTTCAACCATTGAACTACATTCAAGCTTATTACTGAGAAATTCAATCTCTTTCTTCAGATTACAGATCTCTTCCTTTAGTTCTACATTCTGCTTTCCCAGACTTCTGTTTCTTTCTTCTAAATCGTCCTCATCATCCTACACCAATAAAGATTAAAGCACAGTTTTGAGGTCCTGAGTAAAAAGGGAAAGACACACAAATAAATGAATAAAGCAGAACAAGAAACATGAAAGGAGAAAACGAACTCACATCACTGACTAATATAAATGTAAAATTGCTTGGTAATGTACGAGAATGCTCTATCTCCAGACTTCTGTTTCTTTCTTCTAAATCATCCTCATCGTCCTGCGCCAATAAAGATTAAAGCACAGTTTTGAGGTCCTAAGTGAAAGGAAAAGACACAGAAATTCAAATAAATAAACAAAAGCAAAGAGAAGAACAAGTAACATGAAAGGAGATAACAAACTCACATCACTGACTATGATGGATGTAAAATTGCTTGGTAATGTATGAGAATGCTCTATCTGCTCTTTTCGATCATTTAGGACATGACAAGAAGTAGACGGGGATTCAATATGATCTGTCGAAACTATTGATAATTGATTAGAAAACCTTTCCTTGGGCTCACAAACTTCTCCAACTATCTCTACCTCAGATTCACTGTTGCTAATTGCCTTTTGTTCAGAACTTCCATAATTGATCACCATGTCACTGCCCTGTTAAAAGAAGTAATTTGCATCTAAAGATATTTGGTCCCTTGATAAGTTAAGATGTAAGGTTATGCCAAAGTTGTTCTGAAATAAAAATCATCAACTAAAAGGCCTCACAACAACGAGTAGCTACATTATGTTCCAAGACAAAAACTACTCACACTACTAAGTGAATCACCAGGAGAACAGCTTTGATCCACATGATGTGCAATTCGTTCACTTTGTGCTGCAAAAAGCTCTTTGATTATTTCAATTTCTGACTCCTCCGCAGTCAATTCAAGTTTCCAAGTTATCTGATAAAATTTAACCGTTAAAAATGTCAATCTTCTACAGCATCTACATGCAGTATTAACAAGCTTAACAATAAGAGTAAGATATCAATGGCACGTGAATAAACTATGATCCTGCCATGTCTCCACAGATAGTAGTTTCAAGATACTATCCATCCAAATACAAAATCAATACTGTAGTTGAAGGTTTGACATGTCAAAAATAAACATAATCCTTACCCTCATCAATAAATATTTATGCAGCAAAATTTAAAAACAAAAAATTACAATTTCCATTTTCTGAAGACCAAAGCAAAACGTCTTTAACATTGTGTGAATTGGTGAACAACTCTACAACAATTAACCTTTTACATACCTGATTAGCATCCAGCTCTTTAACCTTCAAACAATGTCCAAGATGAGACCTACTATTTCCCCACCGGCAGATGCGGGGAAATCTCAGTGTATTATCCAACGATTTTGGGCGAGCATTGTGGACATGCTCGTACAACCATATCTATTCCCCCATTAACACAGAAAGGTTAAATTCTGAATTTGAGAGATCACATAATCAATACACCTAGTAATTGAGCAAAGGTACTTTAATAACAATAACATTTTTTGCACAAACAAGGATGCAAATTACAACATCCACACTTTCTAGGTTAGTTCATTAACCAAGAAAAGATGTTTAAAATACTCCAAAGCTGAAGATAAATTAACTAAATGGACCTTTTTTTAACATTTAGGGTACTTACTTGAAGTAAAATAAGACAGCCTCCTATGTACTGAACATTCTTTTCTTTTCTTTTGCACAACCAATTAAATAGATCTTCGAGAACAGCTGCTCCCCAGGCAAATCGACTCACTTTACTAAGGTCTTGGAGAAGAGAAAGAAAGCGGGAATCAACCTTTCCATTTGAATTCGGGAAAAGTAAAGTTCCAAACGTGAATAACAAAAACGTCCTTGTAAAATCTTCTTCGTCTGCCTCCCCATAACACTTGAGTCGCTCTTCAAGTGCTGCTACCGTTATTTTTCTGTTCCATAAGACAGCACCATATTCTCTCTCTAAATCTGAAAATGGTACATCTTCTCTTAAAATCACAGGATTACCCGTCACAGGAAGCCCAAGAATCAACGCAACATCTAAAAGAGTTATTGTGATCTCCCCAGGAGGAAGTGTGAATGTGCACTTCTTGGGATTCCATTTATCCATCAATTCCACTAGTATGTTTTTGCACAGCAATTGATTTGGAATCAGAAGCAAATAGCCGAAACCAATCCTATTTAATGCTTCTTTTTGAGACTCTGTCAACTTATTTACATGCTTGACAAATGATGGCAAGGAAAATCTCGTACTAAAGACCTGCATGCATGATTAGTGCGTTATAACTTATAATCATGAGCTAACTGACACGTGAAGTCCATAAGAAGTTTCATATATGTCAAAGTAGCATGCACACAATGCAAACCCTTTTCTCAGCCCTCCTGCCACATGAATACTCTAGTGATATTAGATGGACGAGTGTACCACATATTGCTTATGGTTTGATGCATGCCTTACTCTCTCCCTAATAACAGCAAGATATAGAATATTATCAACCCTCCCCACATATATACAAGATAATTGCACATTTATCATCATTGTACTACAAAAAGAAGGCATGCTTCTCTTAATCAATGCATATACAAAGTTAACTGCCTAACTTGTTTTCTAGCATATCTAATAAATCACCAACTCATTTGAAGCTTGAATAGTTAGAGATTAGTGAAACTATAGGCTGTTGATAAGTCAATCGTCTATGGGATTAGGAGTTCCCTCCTATTGTTCTATTGGATGAATGTCTACTATCCAGTGGATATTGGCCGACCATCCATCGCATGACTGCTCAACCATCCTTGGCACCACTAGATACACAAGATGAGAAGCTCTCTCCTATCCATCCAAGGGATAAGAGGAATTTACAGTAGACAAACTGATCTAACTAATCCACTACACAAGTAAGCTACTATTTGGGTTAGATAAAAATCAGTTTGATGAAATGTGTGGTTAAGAAGTGGTGTGAGTAAAATTAATTGTTAACTTTGACATAAATTTTAATAATCTTCTTTAGATGAACCAAACACGGGCTAAGAGTGGCCTCTAAGAAAATCGAAGTTGAGTAGTGAACAAATGAGATACTTACTATCAGCAGAAGCCCCTAATGACTAAGAAAGGATCTTTTCTATACAGTAGGAGGTAACAACCTCTCCACGCACAAGACGCATGCTACTCTACAAGCATATACACATCCAATTACAAGCGCACACACACTGCAAAAATGCGATAAAGCACGTGGACGAAGAGAAATGCAAACACATAAACGTTAGCCTCCATAAGATTGAAATAAAATAATTAACTAGAAAATAAATCAAATTAAGAAGGGGGCTCATAAAACAAAAATTCAAAAACAAAATTCTGCTTCCTTTCCGTCTTTCTTATTGACTCCTTTAACTATTTTAGATGACTGAGGCTAGTCATTAATTTGATGAAAAAAAGATACCTTTTTCCCTTTCTCCTTGGGAAGAATGGAAGATCTTCTGCTCGGATTCTTCATCTCAAGTTCTCAAGTAGAAATTTGAATGGAACTGAGGGTGAAGTGCAAAATTTGAATCCGGGGCGAGGGAGAACGCGTGAGTATGACTTGTCAGTGGGGTGCGGCAGAGTGGGGTTTGAAGCTTGTATGAGAAGCTTAAGGACAAAAGGGTAAAAAGCGCTAGAAACTTTCCAAAAAGAGTTGATTTGCGTCGCTCTATTTTCTTTTCATACAATTTATCCCCCGTTTGATTCCTATTCTTTAATCACAAAAATGAAAAATATGACAATTATTCATTACATCAAGTCATCATATTTGACTTTCTATTTCTTGTGTGAATCTATAACGATTATATTTTTCATTTTCTTTCTCATTCTCACAAAAATAGGTACCAAACGAGACCTTAATCACCTGATTTTCTTAAAAATTTCAGTTTGATCACTACTCAACCCTGCCGTTCAAAAGCCAATTACGGGGCTAACAACGCACAAATGGACTCGTCACCTCTATTAGTTGGATGTGAGTAACACAGTTTGATTTTAACATTTTTATTTTTTTTTTACTTATTTTCAAGAGTAATACTATGAAGTTCCATTAGAGTTGCAATCCCAATTTATGTGACATTAGATGATGAGTTAAATTAAATATGAAATTAAATGAATTGTTTAATTCTACCTACCAATTAATATCATATTAGCACCATTTAGACTGGCGTTGCAACCTCAATAGGACTGAATAATGGCATTACTCTATTTTCAAACCAAACTATTTAAAATGGTTTGAAAAATTTTCAAATCAAATCAATTCTTGTCACGTTCAAAAAAACTAAACAAAGCCACCTTTTGCAATTTAGTGGGTTTTAAACCTGTGTTTATAGCCTTTGTTTGGTTTAGCTTTTTTAAGAATTTTTTATAAAAATTGATGAATGTGTGATTTAAAAGTTATAGATCGCGGGAAATGTGTGGTTAAAAATAAATTTCAATACAACACTTAAAAAATTAAACTTTCAAAACATAAATCTTACAATTTAATATTATTAATGCAAATTTAAAGTTATAAATACTAAGTTTAATCATAACAATTAACAAAGCTCACTTAAGAAACAAAAAATTTACGACATCTTGATGGTATTCCAAACCTAAAGTGAATATCTTCCTCCTCTTTCATTTGTTAATTTTATGAACTTTAAAAATCTAGGCTTCATTTTACTCCTAGTAGTTAAACCGTTTGAGTCATATGATGAATAATGGATTCGATGAAGCTATCACACAGTTTTTAAAGTGCTTAAACTGAAATCAAATCGTTTTTAAGCAAATTGGTTTGATTCTAAATTCAAGATTGATCGGATCCAACAAAACAAAACCAACTATTCAATTTGATCGGGTAGTTTTGTGACTTTTCAACCATTGTTATGTTGGAAATCTACTTAATATGCTCGGAGGAAAATTAAAATAGATTTCGATTCTCACAGGAAATCTCTTTGTATTTAGATAGAAATTGTGAAAAGATTGTACATTTTTCAGATCTACAAACTTCTTTGCTATTCTTTTCGTTCCAGCAATCTTGATTCGCCACCCACAGCTGTTCAATTGTCCAACCTTCAACGGTGATCCACACAGATAACAAGATTGCAGTTACCAGGGTTTTCTCCTCTTGTGCTAGCAAGAATAATTATGAGAAAAACGTATGGATTGAAAATCCTAACCATGTATTTATATAAGTCCAAACGGGCCTGACCTGATCCAGTCCAATATTTAGTTAATCCATTTAATTAAATTTGGTCCCTGAATTAATTAATCCAATTAATTAATTTGGGCCTATAAATAACCAACGCAATTAATTAATTTATCCAACGATTGTTAAGTTAATTAATTGACAAATTGCAATATTCCAATTCTCTTTTGTGTGTGACCCATCAGGTTCCCGATCACGATACCTAACGACGTGAAATATTATTTTGATATAATCAAAATTGATAAATTAAAACACCCTTTTAATTTATCAACAATTCACACTTGCCATCCCAGATTGACATCTAGCAATGTGTCAAGGCAATGCATGTAACGAGGAATGTCATGTGGTATGACAAAACTAAACTCGTTCGTTTACCGTGAAACTATAATCCCTTCATCAATATGATCTGATCAATTACAAGATATGAAATTGTGTCAATCCCGAATATCGTTCATATCTTTCACTTCACTATTAAGTCAATATAAATTGAAAACTCCTTTTCGACTTATGAGTACACCTTGACCAAGGATTTCGTTATCGACTTAATTAAATGAAACGTAGATCATAATCTCCTACTATCTAAAAGTGACGAATCCTTTATTGGTCAATCACAACATTCATAGGATTTTTGACGTACTCGAACGATGTCGTATTAGTGGCCCTTTGCAGAGCAACATCTAACACCGTCAAAGTATGACTGTCCTCATATAAGGTACCATGATGACCTCAAATCAAAGGACCAATTTCACTACTAAACGTTACATATTAACCATTGACACTCAGATAGTTATCCATGTGGAATCTCTTGGTGGGTCTCCAATGTTTTGTTCTATAACAAAACATCCACGTGTTCATTTAAGTATCACTACACTTTAGCTTGTGAGATCAGCTACTTACTTCACAAGTAAGAAATGTCACACATGATGTTCTATCCATAATAACAATATCTGTATCTCGCTATTACTTACGACCACGGACGATTTAAGATTCAATCATATATAATTTGTATCTCACAATCACAACTTCTTGTAATTAAAAAATTACGAAGATTTGAATTTACAGACTCTATTATTTATTTAATTGTCTATTAATTAAATAATAGATCTGCCATTAAATTTTATTAATTATATATCAAAAGTATTTATGTCCAAGGTTGATTGGACCTAAGGCATAACACTTACAAACTCCCACTTGCACTAGATCCAATCACTTATGTATCCAATATTATAACAATCTACATGACGATCATGTTTATGCTACGACAACTCTTTGTCAGTGGATCTGCAATATTGTTAAATGTGGAAATTTGTTCTTTTCTTTACGTCATTTCTATGTATTATCTCTCTGATGAGATTATACCGCTTTAATACATATTTGGATCATTGATGAGACCTTAGTTCCTTTGATTTCGCGATAGCTCTATTGTTATCACAATACAATGTCATGTGATCAACAATATCAGGAACTATTCCAAGTTCATTTATGAATATCATGATCCATATTTCAACTTTTTGCTACTTCTAAAGTAATCATGTATTAGGTTTCTACTATTGAATCAACGATTGCTTCACATTTGGAATCTTTCCAACATTCCGCTTAAGAGTAAACCAGTTTCTCCATATGAAATCTTCTTCTCAAGATTTCATCTGTGTAAATTGGGATGAATTAGGCAATTTTCTAGATCTATCTTTATAGATCAAGTTGCTTCTCCCATATTGTTCATGAATAAATCTTTTGACAATCTTTATTTCAACGATTGAAATATAGGGATACTGTTTCCTATAATATTAGAAATACAACAATGCTCCCACTATTTTCTTGTAAACACACAATTCATCTTCAAATTTGATAAAATCAAATACTTTGACTTTTTCATCAAATTGAAGATTTCAGCTTCATAGAGACTTCTCTTAACCTATAGTTACGATATGCAACTGTTGCAAGCAAAATTCGAATGGACTTTAGTAAGGCTACAGGAGAAAGGTTTCACCAAGGTCAACACTTAACATTTGCTATTAGCCTTGCTTTGTATATATGGATATTCTCATCCATATCGCCATTTTCCTTGTAAACTATTTACAAAAACTTAAGGATTTTATTCCATCAGGAGGCTCGACCAAGGTCCAAACCTTGTTCACATACGCCGAGTTCATCTCGAGTATCATGGCCTCTTGCTGTCTCTTTTAAGCCAACACTTGACTTTTTGGTGTAATTAGTAGGTTCATCATCCTAGATCAGTAATACCTTATTAGTAATCACAGATTTGCACCTTCTTGAAGGTCGAATGATCCTACTAGACTCACATAGAGCTGAGATGTCCTCAGGAGTCTCTACTCCCTGATTAAGAGTATGTCCTATATCAGATATGGGATCAAACTTGAATTTATCTACTTGGTTAACTATATCTGTAGACTCTTGAACTCTTTCAAATTCTATTTTGCTCCATTGTCCTCCCCTAGAGTAAACATTTTCTCTAAGAAGACGATACGTCGTGAGACGAAGACTTTCTTCATGATAATAGAATTTATATTTAAATGTCTGTTTTGAATATCCCCACAAATACGTATTTATCAGATTTAGTGTTAAACTTATCTGATTCAAGGTGCTTCAAATAAGCGTCATGGCCCCAAACTTTCATATGAGATAAATTGGGACTATTGCCTTTCCATAACTCGTATGGATTTCTGTTAACCAATTTAAATGTGGCATGATTTAGTGTGTTGCACACTGCAATTAATGCATGACCCCAAAACAATTTTGGGAGATTTGCATGGCTTGTTATTAATCGCATTATATCTAATAATTAAGGATTCCTCCTTTTAGATATACAACTATGTTGCAATGTATATGGAGGAGTTCACTGCAAGAGAATCTCATTTTCTCTTGGATAATCTAAATTTTATCTTTAAGAAATTCTCACTCGATCGAATCTTAATATGAGGGTATCTTTATATATTTGTTTCTCTACTTCTAATTTGAATCCCTTGAATTTTTCAAGAGTTTCATGTTCGAGTTTCATCAAGTATACATGATCATTGATGAAATAAGAGAAACATTACCTGACATCAATTGACATGAGTCCATATGAATCACTATGCATTAGACCAGTAATTATGCTGACCTTTCTTCTTTTCAAGTAAAAGAAGATTTGGTCATTGTGTCAGATATGCATAATTTGTACTTGTCAAAATCAATTAATCCCGAGTATACATTTTTATGTAACTTTGGAATTGCATTTCATCTATATGACAAAGTTTGCCATGCCAGATTTTAGTAATAATTAGATTATCGCATTTATGCCTTATAATTTCTATACTCATTATAAAATCCTTAGTATTAAAGAATATAAACATCGTTTTGTAATTTACCATAACCATTAGGATCTTT